GGGGGATTATTGAGCGACTAATGGGGGGATATAAAAATTGGGAGCGGGTAGCGAGAACTGTATCGTAAAAAAGAGGGGTGGGGATTGTAAGTGAGAATTGTGTCAGGATACGTCAAAAGGTTTGGGGGCGGGGAGTTGTATGTGACAATTACGTCGGAATAACTCAAGAGGTTGGGGAAGGGTGTAATTTGTAAGTGAGAATTTTGTCGGGGCAATCCAAGAAAGGAGGAGGGGGGTGGGCGGTTGTTGACCGAGATGTTGGTAGTATGGCATTAGCCCTCTCGTCAAGTCGTGTTGCTGTCAAGTCATATCACAGTGATTTTCTGGTAATGTCATATCCTCCGTACTCTACCTGGAGAAGGAGGAGGAGAGGAGGAAGGGGAGGAGGAGAAGGAGGAGGTGAAGGAGTATAGAGGAGGAGGAGGAAGAGGGGGAGGAGGAGGGAAGGAGGAGGGGGAGGGGGAGGTTGAGGGCGAAGAGGAGGAATATAGAGTAGTTGGAGGAGTAGGATGAGGATGAGGAAGGAAGTGAGGGTGGGGATGACTTGTGTCCAGCCAGATGTGTGTGACAGCTGAGAGTGGTCTGAGGAGAACGTGTGGGTGTGTGAGTGTGTGTGTGGTGAGGAAAGGTTCTCGTATCATCCTATGGGTTGTCTTGCATTGGTTATTTGCTGTAAAATATGCTAGGTACCTTCGATTGATGTACTGATAAACGGTTGTTTGTTTTTGTTTTTGTTTTGTTTTGGGGGGTTTGGGGGGGGGTTGCTGTTGTTTTATTTTTGTTTTTATTATTTGTTTGTTTATTTGTTTGTTGTTGTTGTTTTGGGCTTGTTTGTTGTTGTTTTTGTTGTTTTTGGTGGGAGGGGTGTTCTGGGGCGGGGTATTTTTCTTACCGCGTCAGGGCTTATCTTTTCCATTCTCCTTCTTCGCGCGAGTTTTCATCTTTCTACCTCCTTAATTTAAATCATGTAAACTGTGTCAATGGAAGTCTGTCATGTGTACAACAAATCTCGTCTGCGTCTATGATGGACAGGGTTGATTCGTCGCTGTTGCTCGCAAAAGGCTTGGGGTCGATTCTCAGGTTGGAAAATTGCGAAATTGACTTTTTAATTGAGTGTCATCGTCTGTCTGCTGCCATGCTGTATCGCACTCAGCCCGAGTTGGCCCTGTCAGGCTAGCTCAAAGCGGTAAACAGCCTGCCTTCTAAACTATCTAAATCGTGTCTGTGAGGACACGATACTTGATTAAATTGCGATCTTTTGCAATGATTATTCTCTTTGTTTTCAGAATTCCAGTGGCGTCGGTGGCCTAGTGGTTAAGCTACTGGACTCGTAATCGTGAGATTGCAGGTTCGCGGGGTTCGAGCCTAAGCTCGGTCCGACGTTGTGCCGTTGGGGAAGGCATTTTACACGAATTTCCCTCTTGGTTCGGTCCTTTCGGAGATGGACGTTAAACTCGGAGGTCCGGGCTCTAAAATAACCTAATAGTGTTGATAGGGGCGTTAATAAACCTATACTCTTTTCACCATTTCAGAATTCCAGTGCAACGAGAACATAAACAGCCGACACCATCGTAACGGCACTATTTCGTCGCCCAACTACCCCTCCGCCTACCCGGCGCCGATAACGTGCCGGTACATCTTCACAGGGGTGGGGAGGGAGAGGATACAGCTCAGGTTTCTGCACATGGACCTGCACTTTCCCAGTGGGAACCCGGCCGAGCCTATAGAGTGAGTAGCTTAGTTGTTTATAGGTGTGTTTGAAGGTGGGTAAAGGGGGAGTGGGGTGAGAAAGAATGAGGGGGTGGGCTGAGAATATTTGTTTGGAGATGTGTGAGAGTGCTGGAG